GAATAATATTAAAATAGAATTAATACATGTAACATGACCATAAATAATCAACATGTTTATGGTAATCCGAATCTAATTATTTTTGGTTTAGAATTAAATTAAAATTTACTCAAGCCTAATAACGAAGCATATAATTTTGCCACATAAGATTCCGAAGCACCAGAAGTAGCCACGTATGCTCAGCGCATTCTGTATTAATAAATAGGGGGATTGGCTCTTCTATGAAGCCAACTGTTGGATTCATAGTAAAACTGTCCATCGTCAATAGTCTTCCTCATTATTTTTTTCCACAAATCCAAATCAATCCCAAGTTCAATCTTGGTATGATGATGTCCTAAAACAGAGTTATTTATATTATTAGTTATAGTTTAAAAAGGGGTCGCCGCGAGGCGAGGCGAGGCGAGGCGAGATCAGATCCATATGGCGAGAGGCGACTTTGAGGCGCGCCATTCTGTTTGATTAAAGGTGCGTAGGTTTTATTTTTTTTTTAAAAAAAAAAACCTAAAAGCGTGTAGCAATTTTTGGAAAGAGGAGAGAAATGAAACCTGTCGGTGTCGGGCTCTTCACCTCTTTCAACGGGACTAGGGTTTCACAGAACGCAGAAGAAGAAAAATACACAGCTCTCTTCATCTCCGACGAGCTGCTGCCGCGCCGGCGCCGCCGCATCTTCGAGCTCTTCCCCAGGTAAGCCGCGCGCGCGGCTGACCTCTGTTGCTGATGGGGTTGTTCTTTTTTTTTTTGAAATTTTTGTTTCATTTATAATTTATTTTTTATTATTTGTCTGTTTAGTTTTTCTACTGTCTTATACATAGGTTTTCTGTTTAGTTTTTCTGTTTAACTTATCTGTTTCTGTTTTTCAATTGTTTAATTTGTTACATAGGTGTCTACTACTCTATATTTAGTTCATCAATTTAACATGTGTAGACGAAGCCTCGCCATGGTGAGTCGCCTCGTGGCGAGGCCTGGAGCCAATCGCCTCACCTCGCCATTCGCCATTTGAAACTATGCTAATAGTTATTTTAAGGACAACTCTCTTTAACTTTTGAAACTTGTGTTGATTTTTAACAAATAAATATTAATGTGATTTAGCTTGTGATCACAAGTTGGTATATGATACATATATTATGTTTCGATTTGTTTCTTGAAGATGTTGTGTTACCGATTGTCGCATATTTACCCCAAATTTTGTTTGGGAAAAAACAAGGAATTGTTATGTTTTGGTACTGTTGAATTTGACAATGTAGCGATTATATTACATGATTTTTGGTTTATTAACATTCCGTTTCAATGCAGTGACCTTTAGTGATTGCTATATTTTGTACTGAATTGAGTTGGAACACATATTAATCGATCTGGTCTCTGTTGAATTAAAACAACTTCTACATTTTATTATCATATCGAGTGTATTGATTATTAAATTTTAAATGATGTAGAATATTAATATCTAATAACTTCTACAAAATATTGAGCACTTGCTTGTCCTACTTCACTTCTTGTAGCAAGTTCTGAAAAAATATAAAAATAAATAAAGATTCAGGAATTTTGATGAAAAGACTTGCATTTGTTTACTAGTATGGCTACATGGAAAATTTTACACTATTAACAGAAAACAAATTTGTTTTTGTCAGGAAATGTTAGAATCGGTACATGTAGAGGGTCAAAAAGACAAGGAAGTCGAAGAAGATGAGGAGGAGGAGTATATACTGCTTGATTTAGAAGGCATTTCTGATCAAATTCATATCCCACCAAACGCACCATACATACTCTCTGTACTATTTGAACCTCTCACTCGTTTGTACTTACATTACAGTAGTGCACAATACCACTATATTTTTCACTTAGGTTGTTATCAGTCTTCCTTAGATATTATCTAATATAAAGAATCTAAGTTAAACTCGTAAAGGACAACTAACCATCATCTTTTTAATGACAGATTATATTTTTTTCTAGTCAGGTTGTAGTTTGGAGGCTACAATATATTGCATCCGACCTTTTGAAATACTTTACTTCTTGATACTATGAGATAAATGCTCTTATCTTATTTTTCTCATCTTTCTGTTTGATGCTTTTAAGATCCTAATTGATGCTTTCAGAGATCATTGATGCTATAATTTTACACTGAATATTAAAAATGTCACCCATTAATCTGATTGATGGAAAATTGATGCAGGGTTTGGATACGCTCAACCCACTTCTGATAATAGATAACAAAATTAAGCTGGTATGTCAAAGAACTGTATCTTAATTGTTATATCCACTTGATATAATTATTTTGATTATCTATGTTAAAAACTGGTGAAGGCCGAAGGGCAACTATTTCGCACAACGATTGTCATATGTCGGTTCTTCTGTGAGACCCAAATCTGTTTAGGAACACTTGAATCAACTTTCGCTTGTATAAATGGGTATCGTTATACATGGAAATCCATTGCTTGGTGTTCTAGATATTCTTTAGTTTATAGTTGACTTTTCAATGCACTCTAGAGTAATAAAGGATTTTATTTTCTTCACTACATATTCTAGATATTCCTGATTTCCATATGATTATCGAGTTAACTGCAACAAGTGAGGTTTACATCATCATTTTTGAAGATATTAGATTCTGCATTTGAAGGTTATTGGGTTGAAGGAAAATGTGGTCTTGGTAAATTTACCTTTGATAGATAATACACCTTAATGGAATTGATGTCATATTTATTTAATTCATAGCTTCTGCTGCAGTTTCTCGTTTTGACGTCTAAGTTGAACTCATAATTTTTTTTTTTCTTTTTTTCTTCAGATTGGGGAATATGTTGAAACAATTGGGACCTGCTTTGTTTTCAATGAAAGTGGTTAGCATATGCATATGCATATTATTGTTATTATGATTATTATTATTATTTGTTGATCAATGTGTATTAACTTCAACAGCAGAAAAATAGCACTATTAATTTTATCGTGAAGCTTGACTTTAATCTGAATAATAGTAAAAAACAAACATTATTGCAGCCAATTATTTTTGCTCTTGACTATTGCGCTCATTTATACACGAGTTCTTTTGCAGATGATGTAAGTCCTGTTGTTCGCAACGAGGCAGGACCGTCTGAAGCTAATCCTTTATTGCGACGAAGCGTAACTGACCCCAAACAAATCCCAAAGAAGCAAGTTAATCCAATAGCAAGTCTACAAAAGATTCTTAAGTTCAGACTCGTGTTGGACGCTGAAAATGATGATGGGAAAGGCAACCAATCAGATAAGCCACCTTGATGATGTCCATCACCCAGTATGTTATTCGCTTTATGGCCCCTGTTTTTTAGAGGATTTGCTGTGATGGCTATACAAATTGACAAATTCTGACAAATCATATGAATTTCTCTGGATATAAGATGTTGTAGAAGTTCTTGTGTCTCAAATATGGCTTATCTTGTTTAATCCGTGTGTATTTTCGATCCTATAATTTGCTTCTTTATGATTTGGTGAGTTGTAAAAACTACTAATGAGTTGTAATTAGAAAAAAAGAGTTTCAACAGTTCCATGATAATGGCTGCTAATAACGTTACATCATAATAAATCTCATCTGTCGCACACAGAAAAATAGTATTTTTTTTTAAAGTAAACATCATGTACAATTCGAAAAACATTACACAAATTACAACACTGCACAAAAAAGCAAGCTAAAGTGTAATCACAAAGGTTTGTGCATTGAGTCACTTGGAATGATTTTAGTACTTTGGACTTGAAGATTGGCTGGTAATAAATTTGACAAATGCTCAAAATTTGGATGTTATGGATTGGGATTCAACATTTGGGCTAGCTTTATGGCGCATTTGGAATGCACGAAATCGGAGAATTTTTAAAGGAGAGGCGCCGTGTGTAGGCGGATTGTTGAAAGAAATTGAGACTTGGAAGAGTAATTTTTCCGCGGCGATCATGGGAGAAAGACGGTTGGGTGGGTTCGGGGTCGGACAGGATATGGTGTACGTGAGATGGAGTGAGATGGATGGCTCCTCCTTGGGGGTGGATTATAATTAATTCGGATGGCTCCTTTAACCCGTTATTGGTGATGGCTAGCGCCGGTGGAGTACTACGCGATCATTTTGGCTGATGGTTAAAGGATTTTACCATGAATATCGGTTTTTGCTCGGGCAGAATTATGTGAGCTTTTCCAATGGCTCAAACTAGCATGGAGTTCGGGTTATCGTCGGGTAATTGTGGAAGTGGATAGCTTATATGCTTTCTCGATGATTCAAAGTGTCAATGCTGAGCATGAGATACATAGTGCTTTAATCTTGGCCATTAAGGAGTTGTTGACGAGGCAATGGTCGGTGAAGGCATTCCATATATTCCGAGAGTCCAACTTTGTTGTGGATTGCATGGCGAGAATTGTTGCAAGGAGCCCGGGTGGATTCCAATCTTTCGATGTGCCGCCGGATGAGGTTTGAGAATGGTTACACCACGATATTGTTGGGGTCTCGTACCCTCGACATGTACCGATTTTCCGATACTTAGACACTAGCCTCTCTCTTTGTACAAAAAAAAAAAAAA